CATAATTATGAGATTAACATCTTATCAAGAAATATTTATGAGAAGGATAAGTAGCCAATTAACACCAACCATGGATAGGTATTAAGTGCTTCTAATGATGAAAGAAGTAGCTTTTATAGAGCAGATCCAACAATGGGCATCAAAATTGGTGATGTAGAAGTGAAGCAAAACTTCTTTGTGTAAAATCAAAGAAGTTAACCAATCATTTTGGAGCAACCATATATCATTGCAACAAAGATGGAGACTAAGATCTTGAATGATAGTTCATACTATACTAGGATTTTTAGCCATGATGGCAAGAGGCACTCCAATTTTTGATAGTAAGGCCAAATCATGAAAGGTATAGAGATTAACTTAAAGAAACTCCCATGGACCATGAATATGATATTTTTTTGGATTTCTAGATTGCACACATTGAGCATGAGGTGCCACGAGAGGCTAAATCATGAAAAATATAGATATGAATAATTTTATATATAGAATTGATATTTTTTTTTATCAAGAGGCTTAATTGAGTAATTAATAAAAATAAAAATCCAATGTATTTTTAAGAAAAATTTGCTCTACCATGACAACTTCACAAGTGAGATTTTAGAATTTAGCAACATATATGGTGGTTGACTATAATCCTTATCATAAAGTTAAGAGCTTGATTTCAAGTAGTCTTTTTTGATTATTTTTCTTGAATGTAGTTGTATACACTTCTAAAAATGAATTCAAATCATAAAAGAATCATGAATCTTTTTCTCTTAAAGGTGCAAACCAAGAAAGAATACTTCTTCATAAAAGTACACCTATGAATTCAACTTGAGTAAATCTATTAGGATATTGGAAGAAATGCAACCTTTGATAGTGCTTGATTTGTTGCAAAAATCTTCAAAATTTTGATCTTGCTCCATCAAACTTCTCAAGCATACTAATCCTTGTCCATGTTATACTTGTAGAAGCAAAATTCCTTGGATTCGGTTGTGAGGTTAAACTACTTGCCTCTTTCAACTGCACAACTTCTTGCTAGAGACTCTGAACTTCTTCCATAGGTGTAGGCATAATACCTTCATGATATACATTGGAAATATGGAAGATTTCTACTCTTAGAGTGTTGACAAGCTCATGAAGATCTACAATAGTTGCAAATCTATTTTCACCTCTATTGAGAATTGCATCCATAATCTTTTCTTTCATAATCTTTTCTTCTATAGACAAGTCAAATAAATTCAAAAAGTCAAATTAGAAGAGGGTAATCTAAAACCTCTAATATTAAATAAAAATTTCTATAAAGAGAATAATTTACTTTCTCTAAAGAAATAATTAATATTAAAAAATAAGATTTTGTTTAAAAGTAAGTAGTTTGCAACCTTTAAAACACAACAATAGAAGCGAGGTAATTCCTTCACTTCTAAAATAATATAGAAATAATAAGTTAACACTCTTGTCAAAGTGTCAAAGATATGAATCTTAAAGAAAGAAAATTTTGAATACACTCTTGTATCATTGAAATGAACTAGAAAGTTACTCAAAGTTGATATAATATTGAACTAAGTTGGCCATTGCCAAAAATAAGAAGACAAGAAATTCTTGAAACAAGACTAAAGATTAGAAAGGCATTGATAAGAATGAAGAAGGCTTTACTCTTGCCTCCATATATACTCTTAACTAAGAACTACGTGGCGATGTCCTCTAGGACCTCTAAAACATGTTGACTTTGCAAGACACATATCTTAACTTGTAAGACAAATTTTTTATATGTATATCACATAATTAACTTGTTCTATAAGCTACTAATATGTGATTAATTTGTTGATTAAGTTTCTAACCTATTAATCAACTACAAACAAATGTAAAGTCAAAGCAATATCTATGTAGCTTGTAAAAAGCTTCTCTAGAAGGTGTTATGAAATTAATCTATTTTAATATACTTTTACTTAGTTCTACCTAATTATAAAGGTATTTATTAAAATAAATATGTATATCTATGACATATTGTCATATAAATCTTAATTAAAATTATATATGGAAGAAAGAATAAAGCCTTTTTTATTCTTGTCAATGTCTTTTAAGTCTTTAATCTTGTTCAAGACTATTTAGTCTTCTTGTCTTTGGCAATAGCCATTCTAGTTTAGTAATATATCATCTTTAAGTGATTTTTTACTCTTTTCAAGTAACTTAAGAGTATATTGTTATTTTATTTTTTTGAGATTTATGTCCTTGACAATTTAATAAGAGTGGTAACTTATTATTCTTGTCTTGTTTTAAAATTAAATGGATTATTCTACTTTTATTGTTACATTTTGAAGATTGTAGATTATCTATTTTTAAATAAATTATTTAGTTATATAATATTGATTTTTTTAAAAAAAATAATAGATTATTATTACAAATATATACATATAAATCAATAATTACCTATATGATGAGATAAAAGTACATAAAAATAGGTTAATTCTATAATATCTTCTATAAAAGTTTTTTAGAAGCTTTATAGACATTGCATTGACTTTATAGATATCTAATATTGACTTTTTAGGTTAGATACGTGGTCAACAAGTTAGCCATATGTCACACATGTTGATAGCTTAAAGAACAAGTTAACTATATGGTGCATACATAGAAAACTTTCCTTGTAAGCTAAGGCATGTGTCATGCAAAGTCAACACATATTAGAGGTCCTATAGAACATTTTCATGTAGCTCCTAGTTAGATAGTATATATAGAAGTAAAAATTAGGCCTACTTTACTCTTGTCAACTTCTTTATTATTTTTAGTCTAGATTCAAGAGTCTTTAGTTTTTTTGTCTTTTGGCAATAGCCATTCTAATTTCCTTTTAAAATACATACTTTTTTATTTTTATTTTCTAATATTTGTTTATTTACTTTCATCAAGTTCATGTCCCTGACAATTATCCTTCTTTGAGGAAATTTTCATTTGATATTAGAGGTTACAAATTACCTTCTTCTAATTTGATTTATGGATTTGTCAAGTTATTTGTAATAGAAGGAAAAATTATAGATGTTATACTTGGTAGAATCACGAATAGATTTGCAACTATTGCAAATCTTTACAAACTTGTCAACATTCTTAGAATAGAAATTTCATGCATCATCAATGCCAACAAAAGAAGTACTAATTCTACACCTATAGAAAAGGTTCATAATTTGTATCAAAAGATTGTAGTTAAAAGAAGCAAGTAAATTGACCTTACAATCAAATCCAAGAAGTTTTGCTTCTACAACTACAATAGGAATAAGGATTAGTATGCTCGAGAAGTTTGATAGAACAAGATCAAAATTTTGAGGCTTTTTACAACAAGTCAAGCTCTATCTAAAGTTGTATTCTTTCTAATATCTTAATAGAATTACTTAAGTTGCATTCAGAAATGCACTTCTATTTAGAAGTGGTTTTTCTTGATTTGCATCTTTGATGGAAAAAGATTCACGACTCCTTTATGATTTGAATTCATTCTTAGAAGTGTTTATGGCTACATTTGAAGAAAATGATCAAAAAAGAGTAGAAAAGACCAAGTTCTTATCTTTTCAACAAGGATCATGAAAAGCCACCATATATGCTGCTGAATTCTAAAACCTTGCTTGTGGTGTGAATTAGAATGACATAGCTTTTAAAATAAATCTTATATTTCTAAGATATTATGTAGTTTTTAAAACATTATAAAGAATATTTTTTTAGAATATAGTTTTTATAATAAAAATAATGAAAAAATTAAAGAGACACCTATATCTTATTAAGATAAGTTTTGGCACAATCTAAGTCTATTAATTTTTCTATTATTATATTTGATATTTATTTAATTTAGTATCTTAAATTTTTCTTATACCTCCTGATTTTTTGATTTTTTGAATTATTTTTTTTATAATTTATTATTTTGAAATAAATAAAAATAAAATTAAAAAATTAAAAAAACATAAAATACAACCTTGCCACAAGTAATTCTAATATAAAATGTTAAAAAAATTTTGAACCTTAGTTATGTTTTGAAATAATTGATAGATTTAAGTGTGATAATCCAAAGATATTTTTGAAGAATAAATATAACTAAATTTTAAGGATGATATTAATAATGGCACAAAAATTGCAACTATAATCTTTGATTGAATGGATTTATATATCCATCAAATAAAATTTTAAAAAACTATTATCATTTTTTACAAATAAATATTTATTTATTTTAGAAAAAATAGATAATTATTGAAGCCTCTTTGATAATACTTTTTGCTAAAAAAAGTTATTATTGATATTTAATAAGATGTAGCAAATTTAAGATTTTTCTACTACAATATCTTATTTTTTTGTACTTTTTTTAATCTCTTATCTTCAAATGATAATAAATTATTTTGAAGTAAGTGTTATTATAATGATTAACTTATTGTTAAAACATTAAACAAGATTTTTACTATATTTAAATGGAAATAAAAAACACAATTAAAACTAAAGTCAAAAATTTTGAACCAAGTTTTTTCACAAATTAAAAAATATATATCATTTCTTAACAATATGTGTTGTTTCTAGAGAGAGAATATTTAAATATTTATTAAATAGACCCAGATTTTTTCTAAATCAATCTACCTATGATGAAGAATGTAGGAATCATGATGAATGTGGTTGGTTTTTATTGATTTTGGATCCATTGGTGAAGAAATGAATGTAGAGTTTTTTTTTTTTTTTTTTTTTTTTTTTCATTTTTTCTTTCATTCATGATGGGTAGGTCAGTTTTGTAAAAACCCAAGTCTATTTAGCATTCCCATATATATATATATATATATATACACACATATACATTGAGTGAGAGACGAGAGAGCAAAATGAAAAATAAGTGATCTATCAAGAAGGCAAAGTCTATTTGACAAGCATTCAGGCGTCGCATCGCAGACGATCCTGAGTTCTGGTTCAGGGGCACCGTAGGATGCATGGGGCAGATCGAGGGCCGCGGATGGCTGCCCGTGCCTGAGCTGCCCGGGCGAAATTAGGGCTGCGAGGGGGGAAGGCCATGAAGGCCGAAGGAGCGATTCTCAAACTCTCTTTTTCGTGCGTCTTGCCACAGTTCCAAGCAGCTTTTCCTGAGACGACGACCCTCCTTCCATCATCATGGCTGTCGCTCAGCCGGAGGTCAAGCTTTTCGGGCGCTGGTCTTTTGACGACATCGAGGTTTGTGTATTTTGTAGACCTTGTGTTCTTGGTTTTTGTGGGTTTCTTCCGTCGGTACTCACCGGCACGGTGAAGATTTCATATTTCGCGGGTTGAGCTTGTCCAAGGAAAAGGCTATGGCAATTACTTCTCTATTCCTTCTGTTATACAATGGGTCCATTTTTCCCTCAGCTTGAAGTGTGAATTTTAGGGTTACGGCGGCTGGAGCCAGAATTTTAACTGGTTTGCGGTATTCTCTTGTGGTCGCTGTGTTACAAAGTAGGCTAGATTTAGGGTTCTTCAGTTAGGGAATAGGTTTTAGTCTTTTTCTCGCATTGAGTTGTTGGATATGCATTTATCGAGGTTGAAACGTAGCTTGGCAGTGTTCTATTCACGCTGAAGCGCGGTGAATCAATCGTCTCTCAGAAACCACTCCTCTAGTTTTCTATGGCATTTAACAGGCGCGCCTCTTTTAATTTCTTTTAATTTCTTGCCCTCTTTCTAACTGCACGCTTTTTCTTAATGTGGGTTCTCCGTTCGTACTTCTGCTACAGATTAATGACATCTCGTTAGCCGATTACATTGCCGTTTCTGTGGACAAGCATGCCACCTTCGTCCCTCACACTGCTGGACGATACTCCGTCAAGCGATTCAGGAAGGCTCAATGTCCCATTGTTGAGAGATTGACCAACTCCCTCATGATGCACGGTCGCAACAATGGAAAGAAGTTGATGGCTGTCCGCATTGTGAAGCACGCCATGGAGATTATCCATCTCCTGACTGACCAGAACCCCATTCAGGTCATCGTCGATGCTATTATCAACAGGTTCGGACGCAATCCCGTGTGATATCGAACATCCTGAGGACACAATTCTTTTTCTGATTAAATATTGTCAATTTGTCTCTGAGCGACAGTGTTTTCCCATACATTGCAGTGGACCCCGTGAAGATGCCACACGTATTGGATCTGCGGGAGTTATCAGAAGGCAAGCTGTGGATATTTCCCCATTGAGGAGGGTTAACCAGGCCATCTACTTGCTTACTACTGGTGCGCGAGAGTCTGCTTTCAGGAACATCAAGACCATTGCAGAGTGCTTGGCTGACGAATTAATTAACGCAGCTAAAGGGTCTTCCAACAGGTAAAATGCTTGAGACAACCTTGTTTTGTCTGAATTACATATGGCGTCATTCTGTTTTGATACCTGTTACACTTCTCTGGACTGATAAAAGGTTGTTGCTTGTTCCAGCTACGCCATCAAGAAGAAGGATGAGATCGAGCGTGTGGCCAAGGCCAATCGTTAAGCTAGTTGCAAGATGTTTATTGCATCTGGGAACTCTTTAAATGTTTAATCGTGAGGTGGAGCTGTCTCCTGGAATTGTGGCTCACAGAAGTTTCATGGTCAATCAAGGTTTCTCAACATCTGTTGCTGAGTTGAATTGGCAGTGCTCTTATTACTCTGATTTGCGGACTTTAACTGTTCACTGTGTTAGTATTGTTCTCGATATTCTGGCACTGCACTTTGTCTGAAGTTCCTGGTCACAGCTGAGCTGGGAATGACCTGTTATCTTCTTTCACACGTTTCATAGAATTTAGATTTGGAACAGATCTAGATGAGCGAAATGGTCAAGGCAGCCCATGTCTTGGTAAGTAATGTGGTGCACAGAAATACTTGACTGCCTGTGAGCAGGTAATGGTGTCATCTTTCATTTTCATTGTTTTTTCTTACTGGCACACACTCATCAGCTTAAGATGTTTCTAAGATCGACAGGCTTCTCAGTAATTTTTTTCAATAATGTTAGATTAGAGGTCCAGTTCAGTTGGCACGGTGTCTGTATCACCACTGGTGGCTTCACAGATGCAGGCGTGTCAACAGCTTCCGTGATTTGAGCACTTACACATTCAGATGTTTGTGAAATTCTCTTATGCATGGTTCAGTTTCAACAGATATAAATGCTTGTGCAACTGTAGGGTAGTCCAAGGAACTAATTACCAAGGGAAATCTTCGTATTTGTAACACATTCCTTATAAGATTACTCGACTGCGTCTTGAACAGTGGAAACTGTATGAGAGCAAGCATCAAAAACTCTGGCCTACTGGATTGAGATCGTTACTCCGTAGTCTCTAAAAGAAGTGCGTCTATATGTTGTCTGAAAGATGTTGAATATTGAATTTCTCAAGGTTAAGAGCAGTGATGACCAATACCCATTTTAGTTCTTAGCATAAAACTAAAATGTTTCGTTATGTACCATTAGTTTAGAGAAGTCCACCGCTGAACAGAAATATATGAAAAATTAAACCACCTGTGTAGAGACTAACTCTTAAAACTTATGTTGTAGAACTTCAAAAATGAAACTTTAATGTGCAAAGACTACGGTTGTATGGAAAAGAATCGTGAACTGTCAAGTGTAGGAATACTATTTTTCATTGCAGGTTAATCAACGAATTAATTTTTAGCTATGTTTATTTCAAACGTAGATTATATTTTAGTAATTTTACATACTTACAATCACGGAAAACATATTGGCTACTTATATTCGATGATGTTGCATAGAAATGGAATTCAAAGCCATGATTGTCTATCAGATAGTGGATACAATATGAATATTCATTGTTTTAAAATTCAAAATTAATCAGACAAGTATGACAATGAAATACTAGAACTTGATTAAACTCCTCTTTATTCCACCGTATTTTACATATTCAAACTTCGACTTAATCCCTAAATCTTCTGAACCATCTATCTAGTTAGTGATGAACTAGCTACATGTAGAACAATTTTTGTTTTGCAACACAATTTTTGTTCTGCAAGTAACATCACAATTTAAACTTCGATTCTTTGAAATGGTCTAGATGAGATGCTCTCAGTTCTACAATATGCGAATAAGTAGATATTACTTGTTAAAAAATAAAGAAAAAGACAAACAAAGAATATAATTTATGGAAAATATTAAAAGAGGCACGTTAAACCTCACAAGCTTGCCTCTAGTGCCATTTTAACTTCAAGATTAGTAATCTTGTGAAACCAAATCTATTTCTATTGATGGCATGAATTGCTCAGTCAATGACTATTTCCTTACTGACCACATTGGTTTAATAGATAGTATCTTCCTTGATTGACAAGTCACCCTAGTCGTGCCAAGTGGACAAATAGTATAGAAAGATTGGAAATTGAAACAGAGCATATGGACATCATGTGAAGGGCAGAACCAAACTGCATGTTCCACACGAAAGTGGAGAGATGATTCAAGTGCAATTCCCGATGTAGCCCTCTTGCACAAATTGCATCGCTCAGAATCTTACCAGGTTTTGTCAATTGTGTCCATTCTCGAAGTTGGGAGTTGTGCAGGACGTGAGGTCAAGACCAAGGTTTAAGCGATGATGATTGATAGCAAAGTTTCTTGGTCACTGGCTCACTTCTTAACAGAGTCCTTGGACTTGGCTTGTGCAGTGACCAACTCTCTGATCGGATCATCGACAGTGAAATTTTGTTTTGCATCTGCGAGTATGCTGTTTTTCTTCGCTAGTTCATCGGTAGTTGTTGGCTCGAGGTCAGGTTTTGGTGGTTCTTTCCTTTTGAAACGATCGCAACCACAAGGATCGTCCTCATTGTCATCTTCGATATTCTCTTCCTCCATTACCTTCTTGGGTTTCGGATCATCCTCTGGGTATGTGTCTTTTAGGGGGTTGTATTTGAGGAGATAAGCTGCCAGAAATTCATGAGGGTTGCTGGGCCTGTACAACCCAGTCCGAAACCCTTAATTGAGGTTCAGATGACCGAGATTTCGACTTTTGGTTGCGTCTGTCAACGGAGACTTCAAAACGTTGGATCAGCTTGAGATAAACTGTCACTTGTACAACGTCAGGGATGTCCATCGAATAAAATAGGTAAAACCCTAAGTGTAATACAATGCTTGAGCACTGAGCCTACCTGTGAGCACAAACAGCTTCTAACGCTTGCAGTAAGATTGGCACTATATTCTTTTCCTGCACACCAACAGACACTGTAATTGAGAAAATGTTCCCATCCAATTCATAATATCAAAAGCATTAGGAAATTTTCAGAAAGACCAAGAGACAAAGAGAGAGAGAGAGAGAGAGAGAGAGAGAGAGAATGCGCATAAAATTCAATAACTTAGGGTTGCCTTGCTGTTCCTGAGGAACTCACCAGCCATGTCCGCACTGGTTCAGCCTTTTCCTCAATTTTCTGCCGCAACTGTTGCTCCATTCGAATCGCCTCCTCTCCCTGCATCACATCAATTCAAAGTAAATGCCAACCATTACAACATTCTGCATTTCCCACAATACTGCATTTCCCACGCCAGATTCGTGGAGCAGAAATTCCCAACCTAATGAGGCGAACATTGTGATCCATTTCCCCTAACGCTGAACTTTCCAAGTGCGTTAACAATGGGCCGCTTACTTCGATTGGATCATCAAACCACTGATCGTCATAGGTTGGTTTCGCTGGTTCTGAAGGGATTACTTCCGGCGGCTTTTGCTCTTGCGGCAGCACAACGGCTGCGTCTTCACAATGCAAACAACAACATCAAACTGCGATGCAAAGTACCGTCAGCAGTAACATTCGCAAAACAGAGATGGGCATTTCAACCCGATATACCTGGTTTTATTGCAGAAAAAGTCGAGAAAACGATGGTATTCAACCTTGTACAGGAGTGTAACTGATTTTCTTCGGCGCCATGGCTGCGATTTCGTACCAATTACGAAGAAATTCAGCGCGGTTACAATGCAAATCCGCGTCACCGTCTCTCCGTGGAAGTTAGCCTTCCGACGGCAACACACACACACGCAGAGTCTTCCACGAAAGCTGTTCGGATGAACGTGCTGGTGGATGAATGTGTAGTTGTGGGTCTGGACTACTCACATGTTTTATTATTCACAAAGGGTCTTAGAAGTAGTGATTGAATAATTTTTTAAAATACGCAAGAGATTCCCTTGAGAAATTTTGATATTATTATTATTATTTTTAAACCTTCAAAGATAAAATGAATTAAATGTGTGAGTACATTTTATCTTTGATGTGTGTATAATATTTTTATATTTAAATTTTTTATTTTTAAAAAATTAAATAACATATAATGTCTCAAAATTGGCAATTTGCTTCTTTAAAACTTTTAAGATTCTATCATGCAATATATTATATTCTTATAGAATTTAGAAAAAAATAATATACATAAAAAATGTTTATTATTTTTTAAAAAAAGAAATATAGTATAAAAATTTGGCATATATATATATATATATATATATATATATATGTATGTATACTAAATTTATTAAAGTCACACCCCAAATTTATTAAAACCACACCCTTCCTTGCCATCTCATGATTAATTTTGTCTATCCCTTGTCTCCATTCTATATCCCCAATCCTCCATTCTCGTTTCTAGTCCCAATTCCGACCCCTTGTTCTCATGCCATATTTCTAGTCTCTCCTTCCTATCTCTTATCCTGTTTGTGTCCCTCGTCCCTTGTCTTGAATCTCTCCATTCTCATTCACAACTTAGGATAGGCCTCACTTTACACTCCCTAACTCTCTCGTCCTCTTCCATTTTACAACCCCTCGTTAATCCATGGTGGCCAAGGCCCATCAACACCATTGCTTCACAAGCTTTTGAATTCTTGGATGATAAGATTGCTAGATTGCTAGATAGAAAACTCTTATTTGTTGGACCTCTCATGCCATTTTTCTTTGTGAAGTGTTATCCACTTGGTTAACCTTGCTAAATTATTTTACTCAAATACAACTAATAATCAAAATAATTCATATAAGAGTCTTGTTACTATTTTATAATACACTACATTATTAAAGTGTATAAGAAATGACTATGACACAAGACAATAATACTCATAGTTTGTATTATGTTCACAAGGTATATTTCAAAATCTAAATCAAAAAGTATTAATTGTCACTATTCTAAAACAAAACTAATCAAAATAAGTAAGAACTAGTTTTATGTTCAATGACACAATTTTTTATTTATGTGTATGTGAGTATATATATATATATATAATCACTTACATGTATTAGCAAATTTTTTTTGGTATTTATTAATTTAATTTAATTTTACTTTAATATTTGAAATGAGAGTATAAACTAGTTTCTATTGGTTGAGTGACAAACTAATATATTGACATTCTAAAAAAAAAATATCAAAATTTTATCAACATTTTATCAAAATTTTAACAATTAGATATTTCCAATATGGTAATGGAATAGAAATAATTTATGTCATAAGCTGCAAAAGGTCAAAGACGATTTTGTTTACCACTTTAAAATGATATTAACCTGTTTTAGTATTCATATGAAGTAAGGAGAAAAATAATATATATATATATATATATATATATTTTAAAACACATATATGTATCTTTGTATCTTAACAACAACAATACAATCAATGACCAAATTTTACTTTAAAAAAACCAAAATCGAAAAAGTAATAACTCTGCAGTAACTGTGTGGCTTATGTTGCAAACCCTATCTCATAGTGTAACAACATTCATGATGGGAAACATGTCAAGTTTATGCTTGTGAAGAATTTTTATTAACATGCATAATTAGTAGGAGAAACAAACAAGAGTAGTTATCAGCAATCATGTGACATCAGGATAGTGAGGCTCCAAAATTTTCAACATACAGCAGCCATTTTGAAACAAATTTTCTCCCAAATATTCCAATTCTCCTGTTTTGTTGTTTCTTTCAAAAGTGAGCATATTGATTCTCAAAGTACTTAAGTTTTGAGGGATCTCTGTCTGCTCTTCCAATGCAGTTGGATAGTGGGGTCTTCCATTTTTTTGTCATTTAAAGTGGGTGATGATGCTGGTGATGTTCTACCATTATCCCCTAGACAATTGGATGTGACTCTTGCCATGGGTTCCCAAGGATATTTGTGGAAACATTTCATCCACTATACCATCAAAACAGTAATTTAAAACATCCACAACATCAGACTTAGATTTGAAAATAACCAATAAACGTGGAAGCAATTGAGTGTACCATGTGCACCACTTGCCTATGTAGCATCGATTTTAGAATAATGGAATTCTTGTTGTACTACTGAAATTTGAATTCATGTTTCCTACTTAATTGCACAGACCAGGTGAAATGTGCAAACCAAGGCATATGACTACTAGAAAATCTTGCTTCGTCCGAGTTTAATACCCAACATTATGGAAGATTTTTCATCCAGTAACAAGGCCCATATAGCAAAGACCGCTGTGAGTCCCGGTCATCATGAGAACAATGATCACAATTACTTTAAAAAAAATATACACATACCGTACGGTCTTACAATCTGCCGGAGCTTACCTTAGCCACTTAACCAGAAGTAGTAAACGTATAATATCCATGATCATACCTGTCTACTTTGCATTAAGGAGGGCCTGACTGGGACCTAGGAACACAGACATGTGATTTTGGAGAGCAATGATAAGGTACCCACTCTGTCCTCATCTGCCTTAACTTGATCAGCAGCTCCTCCTTTACGTCTTTGTTTTCTTCTTATGAGATACGCAAAGCTTGTCAAAAACACTGTGAACTACTGCTTGAACCTCTTCTTTGATACGCTGCCCCATCCCCGGAGCTCGCACATCACTGTCAGCTGTAAGCGCATCCAAATGCTCCCGTCGTTTCTCCTCCTCAGACTGCACCATGTAACGAAGAATCAGAATGTGAAGAAGTGCCCCAAATGGTGGTGGTGCTACTTTAACCAGAAAAATGTTGAAACTTAAAATCGTAGGGAAAAAACAGGCCCTCTCAAGTCTTCTTTAGGATTCAAAATCTTGAATATCTGGAGGCCCTGCAGCGTGCACTATTATAGTTGACTCCCAAATTTATGGCAATTCCAGAGAGGACGAAAGCAGATGATACAAATAAAATATTCCATTTGAAGCATCCGTAAGGAAGTAAGCATCACAGATCAAGTGCATAATCAGATCGCACCTGATGGTGTTTGTGATGCTGTTCAATGATAGCTGTTGAAGCTTCGCCAGTAGCCATATTGCAGTGTGCTTATCAGAATCGCTTAAGTCAGTTCCTTGTGAATAAGCTTTTTCTGTGGACCGACACACAGGAAAAAACTAAGATGTCAAATAATAGGTCCCAAGTTCCGATGCTTAGTAACACAGATGTGGATCCGAAAGAAGGATATCCTCCCCATTTAAACGTCCACACAGAATGATCAACAACAGATAACAAGTTGTACCTTGACTTCTCAAGAATATGTCGCAGAAGGATATCACACCTACTACAGACAAGATACAAGGTGGCTCCCAAGTCTAAAGCAGAATTCAACGACAACTTATGGGTATTGTAGTTATCCGAAGTTCAAGAATAACGGCATAGGTCTGAAACAAGATCTTAAACGAACCAGGACCGTTCGGTCGCCGAGCATACGAGACAGAAAGATAATCACTTGAGTCACACGATATGTAAATTACCCAGCAGTATCGAGTTGCAAACCTCATGTTCTCAATGTGAACTAGGGCAGTAAACCCTAACCTGGCCAATGGTGACGACCGTAAACTACCGCAGAAATTGACCACAGGACATAAAATTTAAATCGCTGTCGCTTTCCTTCTCCGTCGTCGCAGATTCTTACGTATCGTTCTAGAAATAAGTATTCTATGGCCAACGTAACATCAGACAAGACGTTCCGACAATTTCTCGATTTCCACAAGCTGTGAGAAACCTGCTCTTCCTACCACTAAAAGCAGTGGCACGATTTTCAATGCAAGCTCGCCAAGACCATTACCGTGCTCAAAAACGCCGCGCCAAAGCACTGATTCAACGATAGTGGCAGAAATTTACCGCTAAGAGACTGAAACCACAATCTTCTGGACATTTCGGAGCATGAGTCCCTCAAAGATCACAGGGAGAGATCGAAAACAAGGCCCGAATAGATACAAACGCGCTACAACTTCTGACGCTCGAGGAAGGAGAAACAGAAGAAATAAAACCGACAAGAAACTACATACCTCCGCGTTGAAGGATCCTCTGAAATCGTTGCTTTTGCAAATCTCTCACTTCAAGCCCTCAAACACTGCAGGTTCTTTCAGATACAGCACTCCTCCCTGTACGAAGTAAAGTACCTGTCTGGTGTCTTCTACATTTAGCAAAAACGCCCTCGACTTGGTCATGTAGAAACGATCATGTAAATACTCGCATGTCAATAAAGTACGGTGATAGGTGTCATTGCTTTCGTTGGTGGGTTAACAACCCATTCTCCTGTGTGCTTGCACGAAACATATGCTCTTACGCATATTCTCAGTGGCGATTATCTTTCTCACCGCTAGCTCAGCGTCGCCCTCACAAATTAGCAACGGTTAGTGCTGAGTATGGTGGTTTTGCAAAACTCTTTGTAGGATTAACATCAGTGCTCGAATACTCACAATCCGATTCGGTCGTTTGTATGACAGAGTAAGTGATGCAAATGACAAGCCATTCCGTTTTGATTCGACCTCCGTGTAACAAATCTCACTAAATTGTTAGTTGAATTTGTCCAAGGAAACTCTAGTTGTTGTCCACGTATGCATGGTGGGGCTGTTTTACACTAGAGAACATGGATTGACGATAACTGAATATCTTATTCTAGAGGTTGTGACGACAGAGGGAGACCTGGTTTTGGAGTTCTCAAGTGATTGGCTGCGTTGATGTTTCGTGAGCACGTTGCCTTCGTACCAATGATGGAATATCTTGACAAAGCTGCAAACCATGGAGGTGGTAGTCTCGATACTCGTAAATTCTTCGCGATATGCACCCAGTGACGACCTCTTTGCTTACCTGGCACTCACAGACATGCAACATCTAACAAATTGATGATATGTCGAAAACTTTTGAACGGTCAACGTTTGAACGATCAAATTGTTATGTGGGTGTGCCTCACTTCCAACACTTAGTCTGCCGCGCTGTCTGTTGCTCATATCGTCTTTCAGAAACTTTCATAAGAAGGGCTAAATCTGCACAAGAATCGTCCAGAGCGGAGGTGTGGCCTAAAACTTCTTGGTAGAAACGACGCTACGTGGATGTTCCTTCTAAGTTGCACCCTCATCAGAGCACTTAGGATCAATGATTTGGCGGCATTGTAATTCCTGGATCAAGTCCGGAATAGGGTATCACTTCCCGAAAAAAACACAAGAAATAAATAAAAGAGAACCAAACCTGTTTAAGTTAGAATCGATCGTCACCTTGAGCATACCGATAGCTGTGTATCTGTCTACAAGCCTTGAGCAGGAGCCTCAAAAGCGACCAGGATGAATTTGGATTTGTTTTCAGAAAGTACATCTGACATATGAAAGAGATTCCTCAATTTCTTGCATCCCATTAACGAAAAACTGCTAACCGAGGGTGAATCTTTAATTTCCGACCCCATCAGTCCTATCTTCGTTAATCGTCTCAAACGTATCACCCGCCTGAGGGCAAAATAAGTTCGCTTTTCGTATCTTCAAATTTTTGAAACTGAACCGATTTTTAAGGTCACGAGGGCATCACGCGGAGTAACACAACCACGTTCGAGTGGGCACAAGCTCCGCACCGGCATGGAAAGGGGCTGACGATCAAATCTGATTTCTCGAAACGGCACGCCCGCGCCCCTAAAGGTTGGTGAATGATACACCATGACAAAATGAAAAGGCAAGAAAAATCAACTGGGTGGCAGTGGGCCTCTGCTTTAAATTGGTTTTAAGCAGAGCTACCGAAAGGACAGAATCAATGATGGATTGGATAGGTCGGAGAGTCCACTCAGCAGACACGGCTCACAATCGGAGACGATTCTCGTCGGATTCCCGTCCGATTTTCATTCGATCTGCACGGGGATTCCGGATATGTTGCAGGGAGGCTCAGAAAACACGTTGCCAATGCATCGCTAAAACCCTCTTCATGGATGGACCGAACCACACAAAGCTTATCGATACTCTTTCATTCGCAGGAATCTGGAGCTGGCCGTCGATGGGGTCGTAATCCGAAGGGTATGACCAGCAGAATCTGAGCCACTAATCTGGGTTCATACCTGCGGCGATGAGGAAGTGTTGATGATGTGGAGACGAGATAGGATGGAGGGTTCTGGCAAGCTCGAAGCCTTTCGATCGAGGATCTGACGGTGTCACGAACAATGCTTATTATAGCCTTACTGGGATCCATCCCGCAACCTCCCCGCGTTTATCCGGATGTTGCCCTCAGTTGATAGAATTGGAGAAATTGAAAGAGTGTCTGTGTGATTGTGTTGCGAAGCTATTCAGCGCGACGGCTGTGGAAAATTGGAAATCCTGTAACGAGTAGGGGCAAGATGGCGTCTAGCTGCAGCCGTCAGGTATGTATGCGTGGTGTTTCAGTCGCTCTGTGTCTCAATTTCGCGAGACATTTAAGCGGAGAAGTCATCGCAATGAAATTCCTGGAGTTAAATCAAGAGAATCGTAGTTGGACGGGCAGATACCCACAGTCGTTTGGGGAGAAATTGTTGGGAATCGGGTTTTATATGTGCTATCGCGTGTGACTAATGGTGGCTATGTGTGTGCTCTTAGTTCAACAAGGAGAGTCCAAATTTGTCGTGTACATTTAGAGGATTCAAATTTGAACAGATCTCCGGGCTTACATCCTGATTCAATCTGTTGCGATGCTGTGTAGCTTGCCGCATTGTCCCTTGATAGTAGAGTCACGGCTGCGCCAAAGGCGTTGAAGGTCGTAGGCCTATCTTCGACTACTCTTACTCCTACAGTAAAGCCTTATCTGAAACAAGCTCGCGAACCACTAAGCGCCTCCCTCCAGGTAAGAATGCATTTCCGCTATTGTCCTACTTTTCACATGTTTCTCTTTCAGCCCCCATCTCTATATCGTCCTAGAACATGTACTCCCTCAGTGCAGTCCGAATAATACAATTCAGGAAGTTCTCCGCCCTAGGGGAAACTACGGCTGAGTTGAACAATCGCTATGATATGTCAGTCTTGAATACGTCTTGAAGAATGGAGAAGTTTTAGTACATGAGAACTTGTGGGCTGGACGATCGATGGGTGCGTTATCTAATTTTAGGGTTGTGGGTTCGTTTGTAGGTCGCAGCTCCTTTGAAGGTTAGAAGAAATCAGAAGTGCGTCGTCTTCGCTCAAGCTGTCACAACTACCCCTGAAACCGAGGCTGAGGCTGATGCTCCCGCCGTCCTGGAAGCTGCTGAGGAGGCTCCACCGGCCAAACCAAAATCTAAGAAGCTGACGAAGGGTGTGAAACACATCATGCAGGTAAGCAGGACCAAATGTTACTTCCTTCAAGTGTGTAAAAGGTGGGAGAATGCAACCGAATAAGCAATTCGCACTGCCACGCACCTTGCTTTCACATGCATCTTTTGCTCAATTCTAAGAATGGCTCGGATCATGTTTTCGAAATAGAAATTGCTCTGATTTGACGAGCCGTTAATCTGATCACCAAGTTCGATGTAATCAGTATCTAGATGAGGAAGCTGTTAAGGCCGCAAATGAAGAGAAGGTTATTCCTGACATCCGACCCGGAGACGTCATTCAACTTAGAGTTGTAAGTGACCTTCAGCTATTTTCAACCTGTTGTAATTGCTGGACTGCGTACCAGTTTTACACAGTTTTCTTGATATATGTCATTTCTTTCTCCATTCTGCTTGTCTACAAGTGCCTAAATCCTCATTTTAAGTTTGGCTTTCGCAGGAAGTGCCAGAGAACAAGCGCAGGGTGTCCTTGCTGAGAGGCATTGTTATCTCTCGCCGTAACGCAGGCATCAACACCACCTTCAGAATCAGGAGAGTTATTGCTGGAGTTGGAGTTGAGATGGTTTTCCCACTGTAAGTTATCACCCATCAACTGGGTTGTCTGGTGTTCTTATCTTGCAACATTCTAGAGCATTGTATCATCAACTTGTTTAGCTTTACGTCACTCTGATGTCACCCTTTCCACTGTACAGATACTCGCCGAACATCAAGGAGATTAAGGTGGTAGACAAGAGAAAGGTGCGGAGGGCGAAGCTCTTTTACTTGCGTGACAAGATTGCCCGCATGTCATCTTGCTAAACAATTCGTAGACAATACTTCTCCCAGCATATATTTTTTTCTCTTTCTTTTTATCTTTTCTTTCTATCTACGCAGAACAATTACTTTCTCGTAGTGTAAGAAGTCGAGAGAAATATTCTGGCAAAGACTTTGCATTCCTCAGGTGTTGCACCGGGTAGTCTGCTATTGCGATGAGGGTAGATGAATTTCCATATACATGCCTCTACTTCCCTTATTTCACTCTCTTTTTGGTCTTCGGTAGCGAAATCGATTTTGGTGGAGACCCTCAGCACTCTCTGTTACACTGTAATCTACATAGGAAATGAAATCCTGCGTCCCTCCTGAAGTAATGCTCGCAACTGTTGTGCACCACAGCCCGAATCAATGCATGTCTAAATTATACCAATTTTATTTTTCCAGCTGTTTTGCAAAAACCTTGTGGTTATATCCTTTTTAAGTAGGATCTTTTATTAGAATGCTGTGGGGTCTTCACATGGGAATAAGAAGCTAATTGTAGAATACTAGATACTTCTACATGTCACAGTTCAAAAGAGTGTTAATCGCTAAACGTGGAATGCTCGTTTGCATAATTTTTTTTAGTTTAAGCAATTCTAGAAAGCATACTTTTAAATAACCCTGTGCACATAACTATTAATTATTAATAATTTGTAACAAATTGGACATTTTCTTTGTTCAATTGTAAACTCTTCTAACAATCTACGATTTTTTGGATGCATTGCTAGTTTGTTGTCACACTTTATTCATTAAATTACACAATTTTTGGTGAATATTACATTGTAATTGTAAATGCCAAGTTTTTCTACTAAAATCATAAGCTCTTGGGTTCTATTGTTGACCATTTTCAATAGCCTAAAACTTTTTCTGAAATAGATAAACACATGTCTTATTTTATTATATATATATATATATATATATACATATACATATATAGTATTAAAAAGTAATTTCATATTTTTAAATTAATTTGCAAAAAATAATTTGGCACAAATGATAAAAAAGGTTACATATACTATTATATATTAAAGTCACTCTATCTTGCTCAAATTACTACAATCTTCAAACATATATAGCACACTAGTCTTAAGTAGTTAAATATTTAAGAGTTTATTCAAATAAAAAAATTTAATTTTGTGAAACCAATTTAGAGGCTTGAATTACATATAACAATAAAAGCATATTATATGCATGTACACAATTTAGTTTAGTTGCAATTTCATATTTGTGTTGATATATTCTTTTTGCATCACAAATTTTACTTGTAATAGACAATACATGAAAATGATAATAACTATGTATCTACTTAAAAATTAACTATTTGTTTATTAAAATTATGATGAATGAAATCAGTTGAAGAATTTCTTTAAATGATTTTTCAAATCATTATTGTGGTGTGGCAATGTGTTGACTTAAAAAAAAGTACTTGAATTGTGTCTACTACATAAATCATTAATTTGTTTTTGTAAATTTACTAATAAACAAATATCTCAATTTTTTTTATATATATGTATGTTTTATATGATTATAAAATTAAAAAATAAATTTCAATTAATACTTTTATATATTATCAAATTGTAGAAAATAAAATTCATACAAATTCTTAGCTTAATAATAGTTATAAATCATTTATCAATAATTTTTTGTATAGTAATGTTTCTAAGATTCTAAAATCATCTTTTTATTATCTCAAATTATACTCACCATTTTTTATTATATTCATAAATTATTAAATACTAATAGTACTATTCAATTGAAATATTCATTATAAGCACCTTAGTATGTACCTTTAAACTTTCAAGGTTTTATATGAGGTTTATAAGAACAAAAAATTTGAAGTTTTTTTTTAAAAAAAATCTATAGAATTATGAAAAGTTTGATGATAAGAAATTTTACTTATAATCCAAAAATTACATGCTTGTATAGTCTTCTTTGAAAAAAATTACGTTTAGTGAAACAAAATATTCAAATTTGTTTTAGATCTTACTTGAATTAAAACATCTACCAACAACTACACTTGCAATTCTGAAATATATACTAATTTTTGTTAAATACAAAAAATTTTGAAAATAAATATACAAATATTATTTAAATTAATTTTACTGTGCTTATGTAGAAAATAAATTATTTTAATTAAAAATAAAAGCTTTAATTAAAAATAAAAGCTTTAATTTCTTTCATGTTAAAAAAATTATTTAAAATTAATTAAATTGTATAAAATAATATAAGATTTATTAGTTTTAAGATAAGAATTTGCATGGTATCAATAATATTTTATTTATTTATTTATTATAATTTATAATATCAAAAATAATAGATTTATATATTAACCACATAAAAGTTTGAAATTGATATGCCAAATAGTTCTTATAATTTGTGAGTTCTAAAATTATTTTATATCCATTAATGTCAAAACAGGTAAATGTTCCTAAATACATACTTTAAAAGGATAGTTAATTGGAGTTCAAAAAAGTTAAACCAATTTATCTAAAACTTACAAAATAACGTTTTAGGTAAGAAAAATTTAATTCTATAGTTCATTTTTAAAGAAGATATTTTACATTACATAAATTTGAAGAAAAATATTAAAAGCCATTGGTGGATGGCTTTATACTATAAGAAAAATTGGTATTTATTCTTTAAACTGATTTATCAGAATAATATATATTATAATGTAGTATATTAATATTATTAAGAAAATTAAGTGCTAAAATATATTTTTATTATTTATTATTTGAATAATATTTATAAATATATATATATATATATATATACATATTTTAAGAATGATTCAAAATAATAAACAATACACAATTTAAAATGAACCACAACAATAGTATTAGTATTTCGTTCTTTGATTATTTTAAAAATACTACTAATAGTGTTTTATTATTTTAATACTCTTTAAGTTGTTTAAAAAAATATATATTTTTTAATAAACATACAAATACATCTTATGTAAAAGAACCATGTTATTTTATTAGATTATTAATTTATATATATCCATAAAAAATTTATTACGATTTTATATATTTAATTGAATATTTTGTGATTTTTTATATAAAAAATATTAAAAATAAATGAATATATAAATAAATATATATATATTTTTAATTAATATTTTATTTTTTAATATATATTTATTATATATATTATAACTATAATTTTTAAAATCTATTAATACTAATTTAACAGATAAAATCTTTTAAATATTTTTTAAAATAAAAATTAAAAGACAATAATAAAGATTTTACTCAAGCATTTGACATCTATTAGCAATCAAGTAGATTTATTTGGTTATAAGTGGTTTATTCTATACAACTACTAATTTTTCTTATTTTATTATAAAAAATTATCTTAAAAATTAAATAATTTATTAATAAAAATGATAAATATGAAAAGATGATATTGAAAAAAAAAAGAATTTGGAGGCAAATTTTTTCAAATAAATAGCCAAGATCAATTACAAGATCTATGACAAAAAGCTTCTTACAATTGTAGATTTATTTCAAGAATGACATAATTATCTAGAAGGCACTTCCAATCCAATCACCATTGTCATATTGTGGTTTGGCTAATATGTAAAAATAATACACATAAATATTTATTTACAATTTATTATACAATATAGGAAGAACCACATTATTAGATTTTACTTAATCACAAAATATGGTTAGATTACTACTTTGAAGTGGTTAGTTAAAAATGGCTATTGTTGAAGTTGATTTTATATTAATAATAGTTTATATATCTAGAGCCACCTTTATTAGACATTGGTGATTCTTGAAATCTTGTTATGTTTCTTTTTTTTGGTATTTAGAACATATATTATATAGATCTTATATGAATAAGAATTGGAGAAAAATTTTGGTAACAAAAAGAGTAGTTGGGACATCTATATGGATGAATGGAAATGGATGATAAAAATCTCTATTCTTATTGGCCAAAATTCATGTCCAATGGACTTCAAGGAGGTTGCTCAAGGTCTTATTAGGAATTAGGGTTATTCTTTTGGAATCATTCAAACTTAGAAGGCTAAGGTCAAAGAGTTTAAGTTTTTGGCTATGATTTTGGTGCAAATTTTAGATTATTTGGAGTTTTTATAAAAGAGATGTAGGTGCTCAAAGTTATGGTATTGATTTTGCACCTATTGTCACTATTTTAGATATAATGCACTTGTATAGAATGCAATGAAAGATTGATAATTGGGATTGGAGAAAGCTCTTTTTTGATTATACTTTTTACCTATTGCTTGATGAATTTTAAGTTGGGATGAAGGAGTTGTAGGAAGTTGAAGTTAAGACTTGAAATCTAAGGGTAGTAAGTGACCCAATTTACTAGTGGTTGCATTTTGAGCTACATCTTCAGGAATTTGAAAAGATTTTGACTAAATATTTCCAAAAATGTATATTATCATATTAATAAACTTTATACATAAATTTTGTGGCCTTTGAAGTTCAGATTTTTAAGATATGGAAAAAACAGTGTTTAGGTGCTCATATATTAGGATTTAAAGTACCTACTAGGATTTCTATGATATCAAATAATCTGTAGTAGATTTAAGGTTTTTTTTTTTTTTTCTTTTTCTTTTTTTTTTTTTCTTTTTTTTTTTCTTTTTTCTATACCTTTAACATATATATAAAGTTTAAGAATACATTCTATATTATCTAGAAATTTGGAAAAAATTTAATGGTTGAATCAAGAAATATAAATTTCTAAATTTAGAGAAAAAATCTTTTGGTAGCAAAAAATATTTTAAAAGAGCTTTGCTATAATTTGGGCATTTTATTCAAAGTAAAGGAGTTTTTTGGAGTCAAGTCTTTATATATATGTTAAAGGTATAGATATGGAGCTATGAAAAAAATATGATATAAAGATGGATTTTTTGTAAGAGAATTATGGATTTTCTTTGAGCTTGCAGGAAATCAAACTTATTGACAAATAGTTACTTATGATTTGATGTAAAAAAAGATGTTAGGGCATTTCTAGATGCTTTAGAAAGCCTTACGTATAAATCTTCTTAAATATAAAAGATATTTTATTAGTAGAATATCTTTTGATATTATTATTATATATATATATATATATATATATATATATATATATTTTATAATAAGAATATATCACTTATTAGAACTTATCAGATTAGTTGAAGCTAAACTCTCTACAGCTAAGTACTTGGTGTATTCTCAGATAAAAAATCATGCTACACAATATTGTATATATAAATCACAAGAACCTTGAGTATTTTATATTAACATATGTTTTGAATTGTCACCATGCTCGGTGGAGCATGTCTTTATCAAAATCACTTATTGATCCAAAAAATAACAAAGTTTATCAAATGCTCTTTTTAATCATTTTTATATTGCATATAAAGAAGGAGATGCA